TCCTCCTAGTCCTCTTTATGTCCTACCCCCAACCCCCACCCCCACCCCCAGCCCCCAACTCCATAGATTACTCCCCAGTACCACTCCTACCGTGTGACGGCGTGGTCGGATAGAGGAGCGTACGACTGCGAATCTGAAAGTCTAGAGTTCAAACCCTGGGTCAGTTTCAGTAAAACGTCCCATGACTACACCTATGACTCCACGTCCCATGACTCTGATGGGTACCTGATTCGCGTTAGGGAAAGTAAAGGCGGCTGGGCATAGTGTTGACCACATTATCCCTTCATTTCCCGAGGTCTTTAAAACATGTCAACTCTACTTCACCGGCCCCATGGGCCGTCAGGTTCGAAATGGTATAGGCCTACTAATCCTAGAAACCAGAACGCTCCCCGCCCCTCTCATTTACTTACTTTTTTTAATCCTATAATATACGATAATGTTGATAAAACAGGGGAAGTAACTCTCACAAACTAGACAAAATTAAAAGTAACTCTAAAGTAACCTTCATAATTACAAAATAATAGTATACAAGAATAAATACTAATAAAATATGATTTATTTTAACTAATTAAATTATAAAAAAATAAATTGCTATTTAGAAAAAATAAAATATGTGTACTTTTTGTTAAGTTTATTTAAATATTTAAATAGCTGGAGATTGCAAGCATAAATCAACACTAATATCTAAGTATAATACACCTTTGCATTTGAGTAATGAGAATATGTTACATTGTGTTTCGGATGGATCTTGCGATGACGTCAAAACTTTGTTTTATCACTTTTGTGTCAATCAAGATAGTCAGCTGTTCACGCAGTACATACAATAAAATTGGAACGATACAGAGAAGATTAGCATGGCCCTCGCGCAGAGATGACACGCAGAATCGTGAAGCGTTTCCAAATCACTTTTGTGTCAATAAGGGTTCGGTAACATGATATCAAGATGCGGCTCTCCAGCTCCTTGAACAAATACTAATAATCTTAATAAAAAAAATCTAAAACTGCATGGATAAGAAAACCCATGAAAGCCTATGCCTTGCTTGAACAAGATGATTGTTTCGAGCAGTTAAGCCCCTACTATGTGATGCATGGAAAAATCTTGCAGGATGCTATAGTAAGCTGAAGAATTTGGCATTTGGAGTGCTGACGATTTTCAGGTCAGCATATGCATGCGAGCAAGCGTTTTCTTGCATGAATATATAACAAAGTATAGAAGTCATCTAACAAATAAAAATCTGAAGGCGTGCTTGAAACTGAAAACAAGTTATTAGCCAGGTTTAAACAAACTTTCAAAAGGCAAGCAACGCGAAACTGTTGTAAATAGTATTCAATAATTAGAGTCATGTACTTTGATTACTGATTCTATTATTCTAGCAGAGCTAGATAAAATACTTTAATGTTTGTTTTTTTTTTGCGAAACATGTCTATGTTTTTATTTGAATAAATATTATTTCATATTTGAAGCTATATATATATATATATATATATATATATATATATATATATATATATATATATATATATATATATATATATATATATATATATATATATATATATATATATATATATATATATATATATATATATATATATATATATATATATATATATATATATATATATATATATATATATATATATATATATATATATATATATATATATATATATATATAATTAGATATAATCCTAATCAAATATAATATTGAAATAAAAATGTTTGTGGCTCTTTAAAAACTGGGATATTTGGTAAATTGTAACTTTTGCCTTTTCAGTCCCTAAAGGTTGCCGACCCCTGGGTCAACATATTGTTTTCCCTACATAGAAAATGCTTCCCTGCCCCATTGACCCACCTCAACCCCCCCCCCCCCTCCCCACCCTCTTTGATCAATTTCATTTGACCTTCACCCCTTTTACTATTATCCCTTTCAATTTTTTATAATCACATCCATGACATCATGTAAATATTTATTATGTACATTTTCAAAACATTTCGCTTTCATTTGATGTTCGAAATTATGTAAAGAATTTGATGTTGATGTATTTGTTTTAAATTGTCAGGTATTGTGATCAGATGTCTCAAAGCCCTGTTTTAATTATCTGAATTAACTAGAATGACAAATTTCGTAGAATTTAGAAATTAATTTTTTTTAAATACTTAATTTAAATAATTTAAAAAAAAATACTTTTGATCTACAGCTCTTTTATCGATTATTATTTTTTAACGTATAATCTAATTAGATATTATTGTGTTGTCATTGGTGACACACAAAATCTCTCCGGTAGAAAACTTGACCAAAGTCAAGCTCACACATTACGGTTCAAATTCCTATTTTTTTTCTTTTTGCTAAATCGCTCTTGAAAAATGGATCAGTTTGGAACTACAAAATCTAGTTTCAATCAAACACTCACATTATGATGTCACTAAAATTAAAACTATGAACGTGTGAAATTATTTTAAAAATCGCAAATGAAAAGTATTTATTTATCAACCCCTAAATACCTGAATTATGTTTTAAATCATTTTTTTTAAACGAACAGTTAATTATCAAGGTCAAGGAGGTAATAGTGTGAGGAGTGTAGCTAATAAAAGTTAGAAACGTGTAGAGTAGAGCAATAACAAATGCTAGGTGTGGGTTATAACGGTAATAGTTAAATCAGTGGCGTAGGCAGGGGGGGGGGGTTAGGGGGGTCATAACCCCCCCCATAGACCCCTCGGTATATATATAAAAAGTATGAGGGGGGTGCAAATCGAAAGTTTGGGGGGGGGGTGCAAATCGAAAGTTTGTCCCCGGGTAAAAGTTGGACCCCCCCCCCTTGAGACGATCCTGGCTACGCCACTGAGTTAAATAGAAGGATAACACGCTCAGGTTAGGTAGAGCGTTTCAAAGCTGTGTCACTTTCTCTTTTGTCTATGTAGTAGGTAATGTAAGAAAATGATGCCGGAAATGGATAGTCAGGTACTGTCTTGTATTTTGTTCAGGAGTTGGGTAAAATTCGCTGCATCAAGTTCAAAGAGTGACCGAAAGAGTTCTCCTTCCTAGCCTGAATAACTTGTATTAAGGAATGGATTCTGGGTGGGGAGAATGTGTTGGGTGTTAAAAGAACCAGAAAATTAAAATTAAGGTGCGACTTATAATTGGAAAAGTATTTTGTGTTTTGACACTATTTTACTTACTTTAAACCTACCCTAAAATCAAACTCCGGTATTTATGTGTAAATATTATGTCCCATGACATAAAACACTAAACATTATCTCCCCTGATGTTTTTTTTTTCTTTAGCCGACTTAAAAGTTAAGAAAACAATAATCTTTCAAGCAAGTTTAGCTTATAAAAATAAAAGAGACATAGATTTTTTTTAAAAACATTTTTTTTTCTTTTGCTAAGTCTGGTTATGTTTTTAAAATCCCCATTTTTTTTTTTTTTTTTAGAATCCTCATTCGATTACTTCCGTTGGAAAAAGACGAAAAAACACAATTTACACCAAACCCCTGCTAATTCCGTGACTGACTGATCCGATAAACACAGCGGGTTTCGTCTTTCTGCCCAGACGCGAATTACAGTTCTAAAATAGCCCACCCCGCTGTGCTACAGCTGTTGGACCGTCCGCCCGGGGGCAGGGGACGTGCTCCTGGGTATCACACCACGAGAGTGATTAACCCTGGGGGTGCCGGTGGACATAACCGTTGGCCGGCGTTTGTCTGGCCTTGACCCGTAAACAATGTTGCGCGTGAGAGCGGTATTTTTTTATGTATTTTTGTATGTCCACTTTTTTTTTCGTGGAGTGGGGGGGGGGGGGGAGGGATCGGACACAAACAGGGATCGGGTCCAACAACAACAATAATAATGAAATCGTGGATGTTTGTTGATGACAAATTCGGTGATAAAAATAATGCCAAAGAACAAAACAGTAGGGTCCCTGGCTACATTGGGAGTAACATGATTATTTCAAGCTAGAGGGATAGCATGTTGTAGATGGATTTGAGAATAACATGATTGTTGCAAGCTAGAGGAATATCATGTTGTAGATGGGTTTGAGAATTAAAATTTTATTATTGTAGAGAATAACGTGATTTATACAAACTTAAAGCGATATAATGTTGCTGTTAGCCTGTGATAGGTTGAAGGTCTATTGGTAGAATCCGCGATTGCTAACCTGAACATCCCGAGTTCAGTTATCTGTCTCGAGAAGGTCGTTTCTATATTGACGGAACTTCCCCCACACCTACTAACCATTATTACCCCCCCCCCCCTTCCCTCACACACACACACCACACCTCTTGTAACCATTACAATCCCCCCTCCCACCACCACCCATATCATAAGCAGGCAGGTGCATTGCATGGGGGGAGGGGAGGTTAATAATGGTTTAAACAGAGGCGGAACAAAAGGTCGAGCTGGACAGTACCATGTATCAGAGGATTGTTCCATTCTTTATCCGGAGAGGTCTGTCTGGCTTAACGGGCTTTGATCGGTGCGGGTATTCCAGAATTACAGAAGGAGAGAGACAGAGTGGGGGTGGGGGAGAAATAAAGGAAAAAATAAGAAAGATAGCTGGGAAGAAAGATGGAAAGAAAGAAATAAAGAAAGAAACAAAGAAACAAAAAAAACAAACAAAGAAAGAGAGAAAGACAGCTGGAAAGAAAGATGAAAAGAAAGAGAAAAAAAGAAAGAAAGATAGCTGGAAAGAAAGAAAAAAAGAAAGAAAAGAAAAAAAAAGAAAGAAAAGAAAAGAAAGAATTCATTACATTCTAAATTAAGAATTCATTAATCACTCATTATGTATGTAAAAATCTAACATGTAAGTATCTACCTTTATTATTACCAATTAAGTATTTACAAAAATGTATGCTAATTAAATATCCACCAACATACCGTATAAGTCTATCAAGATGGACTGGCGTCATTACGAGTTATCACTAATTGTATAAGACTCGATTGGTAACGAACAAACACTGAGGGTAGCTACAAATGACTAGAATGGCAATATACTTACACAGATGATTGCTATACACGATTGTTAATTAACTTACACTGAAGATGACAATGCACGACTAGATTGGTAATCAACTTACACTGATGATAGGGCCCATCGAGTAATTAAAACCTGATAAAAAATCGATAAGCTTATAAAAATGATTACTAATACCCGCCTGATTGTACATCATCCAAAAATCAATGAAGAGAAGAAGTCAACTTGATCCAACTTTTCCGTTTTAGTTCTAAATTACCTCAGGCAAAATATCTCAGACTAAAGATAGCAAGGACAAAATATATCAGACTAAAGATAGCAAGGACAAAATGTCTCAGACTAAAGATAGCAAGGACAAAATATCTTAGACTAAAGATAGCAAGGACAAAATATCTCAGACTAAAGATAGCAAGGACAAAATGCCTCAGACTAAAGATAGCAAGGACAAAATATCTTAGACTAAAGATAGCAAGGACAAAATATCTCAGACTAAAGATAGCAAGGACAAAATGCCTCAGACTAAAGATAGCAAGGACAAAATATATCAGACTAAAGATAGCAAGGACAAAATGTCTCAGACTAAAGATAGCAAGGACAAAATATCTTAGACTAAAGATAGCAAGGACAAAATATCTCAGACTAAAGATAGCAAGGACAAAATGCCTCAGACTAAAGATAGCAAGGACAAAATATCTTAGACTAAAGATAGCAAGGACAAAATATCTCAGACTAAAGATAGCAAGGACAAAATGCCTCAGACTAAAGATAGCAAGGACAAAATATCTTAGACTAAAGATAGCAAGGACAAAATATCTCAGACTAAAGATAGCAAGGACAAAATGCCTCAGGCTAAAGATAGCAAGGACAAAATATCTTAGACTAAAGTTAGCAAGGACAAAATGCCTCAGACTAAAGATAGCAAGGACAAAATATCTAAGACTAAAGATAGCAAGGACAAAATGTCTCAGACTAAAGATAGCAAGGACAAAATGCCTCAGACAAAAGATGGCTAGGACAAAATACCTCAGAACAAAATAACTTTACGTCGCGGACAAAATATCTCATGGCAAATAACTATATATATATATATATATATATATATATATATATATATATATATATATATATATATATATATATATATATATATATATATATTATATATATATATATATATATATATATATATATATATGCATATACATATACAAATATATATACATATATATATACATATTTATATATATACATATTTATATACACACATCATATATAATATATATCATATATCTATCAAGATATCATATACGATTGGGCCTGGGAATAGATTTGATTCCCCGGTCATAACACATAACCCCGCAGTATTATACTCCAATGGTTTCGTTACTTCTTAAAACCAGCTTTCAAGTAATTCGGGGAAACTCGCTACAAATGTGTTATTCGAGGTGTCTTCTAATATCATTTCCCTTTTTTGGCCAAGACACTTGGGACTGTCTTGTAAACACCTCCATTTAAACATGTAGATTTCGTTTTTGTCTCCTTACAAAATAGAATATCACAAAACAAGTCCTTACTCAGACGTATAATTGAACAACACGGTTCGTTAAACCCCCACATGACGATTCATCTTTTAGCAATCCGTATAACAGATAGCGCTCCGTATAACAGATAGCAATCCGTATAACAGATAGCACTCCGTATAACAGATAGCACTCTGTAAAACAGATAGCACTCCGTATAACAGATAGCAATCAGTATAACAGATAGCACTCCGTATAACTGAAACACCGTTTAACAGCACGTGTGAAACTCACCCCAAACGTTCAATCCTCCAACACAAGCCACGAGACACCTACTCAAAACACGTGCTTACACGACCATCACAGAGCTGATGTACTCACCACGGCGAAGCATTTATCCAATGAATGGTAAAGTATGAATATAAGAACAAACATCCAATTATAGAGAGAGTAACGAGTGAGTACTTGCGCGCACCCAAACATTGGGCTATCATTAATGAGTACCGGCTGAAACCCAAACATCCACCCCCCCCCCCCTCCCCTCCCCACACCACACCCACTTTCTGTGTGAAGCCACATATTGATTATGTACACGTTTTACCCGCTATGTCTGTGAAGGAGAAGTCTAGTAGTAGAGGCAGACATTTAGAGAAGTATGTTAATAGAGGCAGACATGTAGAGTCTGGTAGTAGAGGCAGACATGTAGAGTCTGGTAGTAGAGGCAGACATGTAGTCTGGTAGTAGAGGCAGACATTTAGAGAAGTATGTTAATAGAGGCAGACATGTAGAGTCTGGTAGTAGAGGCAGACATTTAGAGGAGTATAGTAGTCGAGGCAGACATTTAGAGAAGTATGTTAATAGAGGCAGACATTTAGAGAAGTATGGTAGTAGAGGCAGACATGTAGAGTCTGGTAGTAGAGGCAGACATGTAGAGTCTGGTAGTAGAGGCAGACATGTAGAGTCTGGTAGTAGAGGCAGACATCTAAAGTATGGTAGTAGAGGCAGACATGTAGAGTCTGGTAGTAGAGGCAGACATCTAAAGTATGGTAGTAGAGGCAGCCATGTAGAGAAGTATGGTAGTAGAGGCAGACATGTAGAGTCTGGTAGTAGAGGCAGACATTTAGAGTATGGTAGTAGAGGCAGATATGTAAAGTCTGATAGTAGAGGCAGAGAAGTCTAGTAGTAGAGGCAGACATGTAGAGTCTGGTAGTAGAGGCAAACATCTAAAGTCTTAGCTTTTACCGTAAGCCTAACCCTTATCCATACCCAACCATATATAACAAAATGTTTATAATAATTAATCTCCAATACTTTATGTATTGCTAAGCTGAAGCTAACAATCTATTTAAAAACTCTAACTAGTATAAATATCTAGCTTGGCAACTGATACTTTGTATTGATAGTTTACTTTCATAAACTAAAAACCGCAGTGACTATGTTCAAAGCAATTGATTTTACCCACACAGCGAATTAGACTAACTTTTTAAGTATAACGTTCTTATACACGGCGAAAATATCCTTGTATACAGACAAGCATACTACAAGCTGCACTGCACCGACCTCGCTGTTAGATAAATGCACACGACTTTGACCTATCCTTACAACACTGCATTGACTTTTAACCTAGGAAATTAACATTTGACAAACGTCGTCAGCGATGTTGGAATCTTTGTGGCAAACTTTGACCTTTGTGGTGGATTTACAGTATACATAGACATAAAAGATAGCATTTTGAGATTACATTCGTATATATACTTATGTATCTATATGAATATATAGATACAAGAATATAGACATATATACCTATATAGGCCACGCCTTATATATTATAATATACATATATGTATGTATAAATGTATGCATATCCTGCAGACGGTCATGCACACAGCTGCATTTTCTTGTACAAGACATTTAGATTGCGAGTAGAGTCGACTCAGCATCTACTGAGTACCCGTAGCAAGGAATATATTTAACTGTTTTCCACCATCAGGCTTTAACTTACGACTTAGACTTCTTGTTAAATGCCCAGTTTAGGAAAGAACGAACTGTTACAAAAACCAAATAAAATAAAAATTCTTGACTTCACATAAAAACATACCTAATAGCTACGTTTGTATGTTAACAGTTAATGATATAAAAATTCGCCTTTAACAAGGATATTAAATCGTCTTTATTTTTATATACTTGTTAAACAATCGGTAGCCTTAAATAAAAGGTGTTGCAATGTATGTTTCTATACTTTCATTTTTTTAAACCTACTGGAATTCAGCTTTTAAAATAATGAAACGGATGCCTAGATTATATTTCACAAACTATCGATTTTGTGAAAATGTATTTTCGTCAGACAAGCTGTACGACAGACGTCACATAAATGAGCTGTTCATTAATTAAACAAAGAGAAGGGACGGGGAGGCTTTATACGTAATGAGATACTGATGCTACAAAACTAGTCTACCAAAACTAAATGCTGCACTTCTTAACAAAACTGAGTGCTATACCATCAACGATATTGAAAACCGTTGGTCTATTTCCTACAACAGGAGAATGGTGTGCGTTCAAATCTATAACCTCCTTAAATTAATATAATTTCCAAATACGTTGTTTTGCATGAACGAAAACCTTACCTGACGTATTTAGCAACAAAAGTATTTTTTTCTCAAACTATACATAACAAGAAGTGTATATTATTAAAAGTATTGTATATTATTAAAAGTATACCTTAAACAAGTTTACAGTATAACCAAATTCTAGTGCACACACAACATTGGAAACTATTCTTTGCAAAACTATATATTCACTATATTTATACATTAACAGGACTTGGAGGAATATAACCATACGTTAACCACCATTTAGTTCACATAACTATGCTTTAACACTAATATAGATTGACTTAACTATCCATTAACACAACCATATTCAGATAGATATGTTTTAACACTAATATAGATTGACATAACTATCCATTAACACCACTGTACACTATCAAACCCACATATTGTCATAACCCCATATTAGAAACAAAAACCTTACCAGTATAATTGAGCCATATATTCACATAAGAAACAAATCTCACCAGTATTGATGTGCCTTAAAATTCGCATAAGAAACGAACTTTACTAGTTTAATTGAGCTATAACCTCAGACAAAAAACGAACCTCATCAGTATTATTTAACTACAACCTCACATTAGAAACGAATCTTACCAGTATTAAGAATTAACCTCACTAGTATTATTTAGCCACAACCTCACATAAGAAAGAACCGCACCAGAAGTATTGGGCTCATAACCCACACACCCACACACCCCACACACCGTCTGGGACCGTCACTTAACAACAGATTATTATTGATTTATCTCCCACTTTGACAGATACATAATTAATCCATCTACCTCGCCAAAAAAAAAACGTTTTTTCTTAACCCAGCCTGGCGAATCATATGTAGAAGAAGCTAAAAAAAAAAAAACAACCAATTCCATCCCATAATTTCTACTGCTTTTTCTAAAGAGTTCTTACATAAATCCTGCATAGTTTTATTATTTGCATACCGATAAAAAGTTATTACCCA